ACACACACACACACACACACACACACACACACACACACACACACACACAGAGAGAGAAAGAAGATTGTTATCTGCATGCTTTCTTATGTGGAATTCTGAAACTGAGTGAAAAGGATGAAGAGTTTGAAGGGGGTTGACAGAGTGCATGCTAAAAGAGGCTGAAAGAAGAGAAGAGTGCTGACTACACACCTTCAGGCTGACCCTGTCTTCTGAATCAGCCTTCTCACTTTCAGGAGGGGTGAGCACTGGAGAGACAGAGAGGGAAAAGGAAAGGGGGAAGGAAAGACAATATGCGTGAAAGGAAGAAGGATTGTAAAAACAGAGAAAGAGGGAAAGAGTTCCATTTCAAAAGAAAGAAAGAGGGAGGGACACACAGAGAGGTCTTGTTCTCTTTGCGGCAAACAGAACGAAGGCAGAAGTCAAGGTCAGTTACTGAAACGTGGTAGCAGTACAAACAGAGATTATTCCTTCTCCTGGGACTAAAGACACACACACACACACACACACACACACACACACACACACACCCTCTCTAATGCATTGTATGTCATTCTGACATCTAGCCACAAACACATTGTGGAATCTCAACAGTTGTACTTCATATTTGAAATAAAATGTACACTTCCAAAAGGTTTTCTGTAGATTTACGGATTTACACTCAGTTTCTTCTCAGCACAGAAATAATAATAACAAATCCTTTGAAGGAAACATTTAGCAAGATTTGTCTATTGATGATGAAGCATCCGTTTACAGGACCATGGCAGATGCGATGACATTTCGGGAATTGTTTTTTGATGAGAGGTAAATAAGAAGATCACCACCACTGCCATATCTCTACGGTAAACAAGAAGCTGAAGCCCGCAGGCGGTTAGCTTAGCTTAGCACATTACCTGGAAACAGGGGAAAACAACCAGCCTGGCTCTGTGCCAAGGTAACAAAATCAACCTCTAAAGTTCACCAATTAACACATCACATCTCATTTGTTTAATTGTTTTTGTACGATATATACAAATGAGATATAATGTGTTAATTACAGTGAGGCTAGCTGTAGACGCCCGTTTCCAGTCTTTGTGTTAAGCTAAGCTAACCAGCTGCTACCAGTAGCTTTATATCTAACGTAGACATGACAGTGGTATCAATCTTCTCATGTACCTCTCGGAAAAAGGGCAAAAAAGCTTATTTCCCAAAATTTCAAACTGTTCCTTTCAAGTCTTTCTAGTGTTTATCTTAAAAGCTGCAAAACAGTCAATTATCAGATAGAAAATTCAAAGGAAAAGGATTTACTTACTTCCTGGGATGTGATCCTCCTCAGCTATTGGCTGGTTTTCTAGTTTGTCTTGCAGTTTTTCCTCCTGTCATAAAGAAAGAGTTGCAGCCAGCAAAGTCAGCAATATTCTTGGTATGATTAATGTCAACATGCATTTATATGGACTGGGGTTTTATGTGTGTTTTTATACCTCGTGACAGGGCAACTCTGAGATACTGCTGAAGCTGGAACGACTCAACTGAGCCAGCGACGTCCCATAGCGCAGTGCCTCATACACAGGGTCGACAATGCCATTATCCGCCTCTACACACAGACACAGAGCAACACATGTAGTTTTATAGCGGACACTATACTGACACACACACACACACACACACACACACACACACACACACACACACACACACCCCTATGCACACACAGAGGCCACCTAGGATCGAAGGCCACAGACACGGTGATTAGTCATCCTGAGATTTTAGTTATTTGTCTTGTGAGGAATCAGACAGCCGGCGTTTCCATCACTGACCTTGGGCAGCAGGAGCCTCTCTGACCACTTCCAGCGTGTCATTGGTTAACAGAGGAGAGCTGAAGTTTCTCTTGAAAGCTCCTGTCTGACAAGCCGGAAGACAGACAGGAGAGAGAGGACAGTGGAAGGAGAAACGTTACTAGAAAAAAAGACAAAGGACAGATGTAATATTCAGCTGTGAGACAAACCCGTGTGAGAGAGGTGGGCCTACAGTATGTGAGATGAAGATGTGCAAGTATCAACTGAAATCTCCAATGAATGCTGATATATTTTATATCTGACAGTTTTCCACAGTTTCTTTAATCTGTAAACCATCACAACCCTAAATAAAAAAAAGAAAAGTCTAAATTGAAATAAATACTGAAGTAACGTACATATACACTTGAAACATCTGTGCACCAGAGGTAAGCAGGGGAGAGCTACAAGACCTGTCTTTGTTTACATATCTTCAATACTTTCACAGCCAACATGTTTAAGTTATTCCGCTATAATATCTGTGCACGTATACCAACATATGATTTACGTACAGTGAAGGTTATGCATGAATTGCTTTTTAAGGTTAGGAGGAGATTGAGGTCAGGGTTAAACTTCGGCTCCTCCCTCCCTCAAACAACAGCAATAAAAAAGAAGTTAAATAAATGTCACACCTGGCATTGACAGTAAATCACTGTTGTAAATGTTTTGCTCATTTCTTGCGGCATGGCCACAAATAACAGAAAACATAAACCTGACAGTAATAATCCGTTAACATAATTTTCATCTTGACACATGTAGGGTCGATCAGCTCATATGATCTACGACTGCATCACTTACCGCGGATGGTGGCAATAATACACTCAGCATTAGTTTTAATGGGGAGCTTCGGCAAAAATGTCCCCCAACACGGTTGCATGCCTAATAGAGAATGACTAAACCTTTTTCCTATCTGCCTTCGAGCCTATTCCTCCATGTGGTCTGTCTGTCTTTGTCAAACTGTACATGTGGCACTGAACATCTCTTGAGATCTGATTGTGTTTCTTTCTTTAGCAAGAAAATATGTTGAGCTGCAGTACAGGACTCATCAGTCTAAGAGACACAATTACAAAGTCCTGTGTTTGACAGACGCTGTGATGAATCCGTTCCGTGTTCTCCAAATAGAAGATATAAAGATAGTATCTCGGCTTCATCTAATCTCTGTATCTCCTTTCATCCGTTTTACTGTAAGTGATACCTGCTGATAACAACATGCCATCAGAGAAATGTCGTTAATCTTTGAGTTATTTATCTGCCGACTTGTGGTACATTCAGAGGTTGAACTGCCTTCATTGTATCAAAATAAATCAGCATTTACAGGCCCGTGTATTATTTTGCTCGATGTTAAACTTGTTATCTTTTATCCAGGCAATACTTGTGTTGACACATGCATATGCTGTGTCATAATGTATCAATAGAATTTACCCATCGACTGTTAATGATCACTACGAGTCATTTAAAGAACATTTTGTATGCTTGTGTGTGAAAGTCACAGTAAAATAATGTATTTATAGAAAAAGGAAACCAATCAAAATGATGCGGCGTGGCGATTTGGCGGATCTTGTGAGTATAGACCTTCTGCAAAGTACAGAAGTCATCCAAAAGTGAAACATCGCTTTAAGGTTTTGGGGGGGGGGGGGGAAGATTGTGACGGCTGTTCAGGACTGACAGACGAGAATTTGCCCAGAATCTCTTCTTTCTCTCCTTTGTCACAGAACACCAAGTTCACCTCCACACTGAAAGTGTGTATCTATTTCCAACTAATGACGCAATTATAATACAGACTTACAACTTCAAAATGACCAACAAAGTTATTATGATATCTACCATTCTTAGCCATTTAGAAAGCACACAGTTGCTCACATAAATATCTGTACAGTATGGCTGCAAAGGATGCTTTTTATCATTAATCAATAGGCAGATTACTTTGATTTCTTGATTTAATTATTTAAAAAAGTGAAAAATTAACAAGTTTAAGTACAATATGGCGTCATTAAAATGCTTGATGAGTCTCAAACACAGAAATATTCAATTTACAATTATTTGAACTTGAGAATGGCAGCAATTATGATCAAATAATATCAAGTAATGTTTGTCAGTCAACCGATCATTGCAGCTCTCGTGTAAAGACACAGAGGCTGACAGAGGCTAAATATTGTTTTTGTCATCCTCCTTTTAATCTGTTTGTCACAAAGTGCTTCACAGGAAACAAAGCACAGAAACAAAATAAAAGACTTTTCTGTCAATAAACTTGGAAAATTCTTCACCGATATGAATCGGCCTCATCTCCTCTGCCAGTGCTCCAGTTTGAAACAAACCGATATGCTCGAAAGGGGAGGGAGAGGAACTATTTCCTCAGCATTAGCAACCTCGAAACATCCCTTTCACATGCAATAGTCGAACACTTCCCCTACACTGACATATCAACATAGCAGTCATGGTGACTGTGCAGCATGAGTGGACTGTTTAAGAGAGCAGACCAGCTGAAATCTCGCTTTTTGGTCAGTTGACATCCACCAAGAGCAGGATTGGATCCTGAAGGAGACTCACACAAATTCAGGTGAAGATGGACGCGAGTGTAAAGCTTTTCCTGCAGAAGCAATTATTTTGTGCAAGTGCTCAGCAGGCCTATTTCTTTAATCAAAGGCTCAGATATCTTTAAGTTTCATTAACGTTGATTAGCAGAATGTTGTCAGGATTCCAAAGCCTTTTTCAAACGCTTGATTCTGGACATTTTTTAAAGCAATCGGTCATATATGGGTCCACTCAGCAAATGGGTTGAGGGCGAGCCAGAGGAACTGCAGTCATCGATATTTCCGTTTTCATTTTTAATGACACTAATTTACTCTAGCTTGTGCAAGTTGTGCCTGCCTAACAAGTCATCAAAACTAAAAGTACACATTATGTAATATGGTGCCATTCATAGTGTTTTTAATACTATATGTTTTATATTGGCTTATTATTACAAGCATTATGTTAATGAAGTAGCTGATCAGGATGAAGCTCAACTAAACTTTTTGTTATGTTTATGATTGACTTTTGCACTGCAAAAAATCTCCATCTTACAAAATTACAGCACTTCACGATATAGGTAAAATTTCAGAAGCAATCTTTTTGCATACAAAAGCTTTGGATGACGCACTTTGGTTGAGAAGTCAGTGAACCCCGGACCCCAAGTTACGTAGGAGCATAAGAAGGGGCTTCGCCCTCCATCCAGCGTCGGTAAAATGCCTAATCCTTGCTTTGATGAGTGAGCAGTGATCGAAAAGGACACCGCCGAAGGCTTGGTGAGAGCTGGCCGTGTCATATCCTCGAGGGATTGTGTGCGTTCCCAAACACACTGCATTTCACACTGAATTAGCCAGACCAGCTGGTACAGAGAGATATTGATTTTTCAACAGAGTTGAGAAGGGAGGAAGGAAATGTAGCACCCAGACAAGAGAGAGGATGATTCGATGGCGCTATGTGAGAAGAGCAGCACATGCGGCAGGAAGGACAAAAAGGCTGAGTGGAAAGAAATGATGGGACCTGGCCACTGAAACTTCATTAGTGTCATCCTCCTCAGCCGTTGTTCCTTTTATGGCATTTATAGCTGGGAGATAATATGAGCCCCCTGCTGCCCTTTCTCACATTTAACAGTGTGTTAGTCTACCGTTGAAAGCCCTGCACCCACATTCCATTTATAACCTCGGCATTTTTTTGTCTCTGCTGGTTGGCTTTACCCTCTTCTCACAAGACGGGGGCTTTGAGGCTAAGCATATTACCGGGACTGAAGGCCATGCCAACAGACTGTTTAATTCTGCTGACACAATGCATTCTGGGTTAGTCTCTAGCCTACAGTGAACTCGTGCATTCCCAGCACATTTGACAAACAAATACACAGAATATAAAAATGTATTTAACTTTGCAAAACAATGTTTTGCCCGTGGTAAGCCTGGCTACTGGGAGATAACTGCACCAAATGAGCAAAGCAACAAGGGTACATTGAATTTAATATCATTAATTAATACACAGCTGCCCTGACCACTGATTAAGAGTGTCATGCTAATGAGAGTTGTCCCTTCAAGGGTGGCATTCCCTTTCACAAGTCAGGGACAGGTGTCAGGGGAATGAGGAAATACAGTGAAACTACAATAATAAAACATTACAATCATAAGAATCAACGAAGAACATCACAATCATGAGAGAAAAAAAAAAATGATCAGTGAAGTACATGCGATACATTTGAGGTTAATCATTATGATGATTACAATGTGATCAAGACAGAATAGCAATATGTTGCACATATTTTCCCCACTGTCTCAATGAGCAGGTAGCACGTCTAGCAACTTTTGGAAGATTTTGGATCTCAGAGTTTCACACCCCTGTTAACGCTAGAAGACCACATCTCTGGGTGTCCCATCGCTGCCAGACACTTGAGTGTTACGATGTATTTTATGTGGGCTGTAAAGTGGAACTATTAGCTTCACAGAGGTGCATAGTGCGTGGCATCTGAGACTTAATGAAAAGTCTGTCTGAGGTGTTCTTACCTTGCCATTACAGGGCTGCTGGGAGAGCTCCGACGAGCACCAGAGGTGGGTCGCCAGCTTGCAGGCTTTACAACGCAGCCCCTGCTTGGAGTTCCCTGTGGAGACAAGACAATTCACTTCAACACATCCGAGTACGCTGAAGACAGCTGTCAATATTGATATCATCAGTAACAGGTTAAGATCACTGCACGGTGGTCGCAATAAGGTTGATTATTTGTTGCCACTCAGCATTACCTGTCCACAGTGTTTTTTTCTTTTGTATAATTAGTGAGTGAAATGCTGCATTTTCTGCCAGTTTTTCATCAATGGTATTCACAAACCACATTTTTTTTTTGCTTTGTGACTGTTTTCCAGTCTTTATGTTGTAAAGGAATTGCAATTGTAGGAGCTTCAAACAATTAAAAAGACTCTCCAGAGATGCTTTGTAGCTGAATTTTAATTGTTCCGAGTTTATTTTACCAAAAAAAACAGATTTTTTTTTGCCTCACAGACTGTCTAACTATCAGTTTTGACACTCACATGCTTCATGTTCTGCATGCAAATGTTTCTAGTGGACTGCTCTGTACATTACACAGTAAAGTACAGTATGTTAAATGTATTTGATGAATAATAAGTCTCATCTAAAGCATATGAGCTACAACACTAAATGCACAGTAAGCCCTAGTGTTGAACTGTGAAGACCAATGTGCTCTAAAGACAGTTTTTAACCAGTAATTAAGCATTTAGAGTTCACAAATGTGTCCCCTGTAAACAATCATCAATGATCCTGATCCACTCCCAGCTGATCTTATACCAGGTCATACACTTAGTAGTAGTTGTTTTTTATCACTGTGTGGGGGAAGTTACAGGCCATCCAAATGAAACAGTAGCTGAGTATTCTGGTGAGACAGACCTGTTCAACTGACTTGGTTTTCATGAACGGCTTGTCAGCATACCGATTGTAAGAAAAGGAGATACAACTCCCCGAGGAGGCGTGGAAGCATGATTGGACCACAGAGCTTGCTTTCAATAATTTCCATTGGGACAATTTTATGCTGAAGAAATAGACTCTGGTTGAAAATGAACATGCTTGCCTAAAAATGTATTACCTAGCATTCAGCAGAATCCACTGACCAGCTTATGGCTCCTTTTGGTCAGACCTCCACCTCTCTGAACACAATTATTAGTAACCGGCACAACTGACCTACCTTGGATCATGTGTTTGCATCGCTGGCAGCTGGCGGGCCTACGGAAGACGTGCTCCTGGAAACAGTGGGTCTTGACCGGCTGGGCCTGAGACTTCGGCTTCGATTTTGAGGGACTGATAGAAGGTGACGACAGTGAGGGGTTGGGACTGGTAGACGGCGAATGTGACGGAGAGCGCTCGTAGGCCAGGGGGGACTCGGAGATGGGGGGAGGAGATGGCGGGGGTGGAGGTAAGGTGATCAGGGCCGAGGGAGGGCGGGAGTCGCCGTTACTGCGCTGGAAGAAGTTGTCCACGCTCTTGCTGCGCATGACTGACTTGAAGGACAGGGAGCGCTTCAACCGCTGTAACTGGAAGAAAACAATAAGAAAACATGAAAGGAGGACACATTAACTCAAAACAGCAAAATACATCCACTTAAGGAAGTAAGAGAAAACCTCAGTAAGCACTCAATCAGAATCTGAAAGTCTCTAAAAAACAATTTTATCAATCGGCTACTCGCTGTGAACAAATGGATTCTACATAAACCCATTTCTACCAAAGTTAAACGTTCTCAGTGTTTCTGTCTGTGCTCTCACTGCTCTGATGTCGGCTCGGGTCAGATGGAGAACAAGCAACATTTAATCAAAATGTGACGAGCAACACCTACAATCCTCTAACTTTTAATTTGATTGTCTAGTCAGAATTATTTCATGTTATAGAAAAGTACTTGACCAGGAGCTTTAAGGTCTTAAAGTGATGATTGATTACAGCTTCAGAACCATCCCTTCTTTAAATTCTGACATTATATAGAGAACAATAGAAATGGCGTTTGAAATGACAGAAAAAGAAGTTTCCAGCTCGAGGGAATGTGCAGTGTTTGAGAAGTCTGTTAACTAACGGTCTGTCAGCTCTACCCTCCGACTGTCCTTGCCATGCCAGGCTGGCTTCTGGCCATCCATCTTCAGCCTTTTCACCTCTTTTCCTTTAGATCACAAATTTTCCATCCCTAGCCAATCCACGCGCGTCAATAGCTCTTAAAATTCACATTTGATTAGTTTTATTGAGCGGCCTGCACCTTCGCATTTGATGCAGTCGGTGATGCACGGCAAACACTGTGTTTATCTTTGACTCTGCCGGCCTCGATTCCTCGCATGCTTGCCATCCAGTGCTTTTGGCTACAGTAAAGTGGAACTGATAATGACAAACAATTACGGGGACTTGGCAGCGATGGGATCCAACATATGGAAGAAATACCTGCTGTGGACTCGTAAGTCAAGACAGTTGCCTGGAGGATGAGGGCAAGGATGTATAATAAGTCCCTGAAGAGCCCCTCCTCCATCCACACAGAGCTCATTAGCTGTCTGTGTTAGCGACTGGGCTGAACTGCCTCGGACTTCAAAGTTATACAGAGTTTTATCTAATTAGGGATTTGTTGTTTTGTGTGTGGCGTTAACATGTTTTTGCTTGTCCTGATGATTCCTCTTCTACAAAAGGTAGCACCCTCATTGCCCAATCGTACCTTTGAAAGCCATCGTAAAAGCCGCCTCACTCCTTCGCAGAAAATCGGATCGATGGCATTGAGCACGCTCCTCCTTTTCTTCCTTAAGCTACAGATTCACAGATGCCAATTAGTTTGAGTGATGAAAGAGTCCTCTCTGTTGACCCATTAGCGAGAGCCTCTCGTAAATGTTTTCTACAGGGAGCTGAGTCCATGCTTTCCTTAATGGCCTTTTTCTTGGCTCGACTGGTGGCCTATTCGGTAATGGATGTTCCTCTCTATTAGATTTTTAACTTGTCTGACTTTGTTAATCTTCTCTGTGGTGAAGGCCGGTCTTTGCTCCAGTTTCAGAGGGGAAAGTAACAGTTTCTTGAAGCACAGGCTAGGCAACACATGACTGATAATCAATAGCTAAATATACCCCCCTGAGCTTTTACTAAGATTAAAGAAACACAGAGGACTCATCTGAAGATTAAAAGAACAAGCTTGTTCAAAGCCAGACGTATTTAAGTAGTTTTAGAGCATTGACTAATCATGAATATTGGACTTGTACCAGTGCTGCTCAATTTAACTTCCATTACAATCAATGTCGTAACCACAAACGTGCACTGAAAAAAGAGTAATAAATAATTATTGAACAAATAAAATGTAAGTGTGCAGCTTTATACAGTTCATCCCATTCATCCTCTCCTATAAAGGTTAATCTAAGATACCGTCAAAGAAAAGAGTTTTATGATCAAAATGTACAAAGAAGAATGTATTTAATTTGCCACTGTGGGCACCTTCACAGTTTGACATCAGGCCAAGCTGAACTACACTGAATGGCCAGAAGTATGTGGACATCCCTGTTCATTTGTGTACTTTTAGTCTATGCATATTGTTTAAAGGTTTTGGTCAGCACCGTACTTCAAATTAAGGTAAATACTACGCTACTACATGATATAATATTCTGGACTGTGCTTCTAACTTGTTGGTGAAAGGTTTTCTGTTTGAAATGACAATGATGCACAAGTTGAGGCCTTCATAGAGCCATGGCATGAACCCCCTCCAACAGCTGAAACACTATCTATGAGCCAGGCCTCATTGCCCGACATCAGTGGTCAACATCACCGATGCTTCTGTGGCTGAATGGGAGCGAATCCCTGCGGACAAACTCTTCTCACAGAAGTAGGGGCTGTTAATGTCCTTGGTTTTGAAATGAATTGCTCAACAATCACAAAAACATGTTCTAAAGTTCGGGTGTCCACATACTTCATTTGCGATTGCTTTGGGCCATGCACAGTAGTGGTGTCACATTCAGAACCAAGGTCAGTTCTTCTTCAGCTCCAAACTGTCTACTGTGGTTTATAATACATCATAACCATACAGTATACTTTAAAATCGATCCTAGAGGAGTTTGGTAGGCTTTGGTGCAAGCTTCAGTGTGGTAAAGAGCCTATAATCGGTTAGAGGGATCTGATCATAAAATCAGGGTTCAACCTGTGGTCTTTAACACATGCAGGCAAGCTTGTTTAGAGAAGTATCATATATCATCCATCACATCTAATTTCAGCCCGGTCTCATTCCCGGGGCGTCAAATACCGACGCTTTTTCTCGCCTCTCGGCGTGTGACATCGATGCAAAAGGCACTCCGTTTGAATTCACTACTTTGAAGTAGTTTGAAGCGCTGTGCTACCCAGTGCATTAGAAAGTGTCTCTATTTTGATAAGTGCACAGTACACATACTAATACAACACAATCATGATCGTAGCTCCCCGAGTTTGCTGCAGGGCATCACACGCACCGCTATCTTGACTATCTCCTATCATTACATGGTTACTCTTATTCCATGTGTGGCTTTGTGTTATAATGTATGCTATTACCGCTTCTGGTGTTTTTCTCTTATTATCCATAACATCCTCGGCTGAAAACAGAACAGAAATCAAAAGCAGAGCTCTAATGAATGCAAATCTCGATATTTCTGCATGGCCCTCTTGTGTCTCTCTGTAAGGTTTTGAAAAGTATATTTATGGATCACAGAACTGGAGACCCATCACACTTTGAACTACTGACGGCAATTAGCTCATCAGAGTGAAAGTAGCGGTGTGTACGAGAGCAGACCGGTGTTTGAGGGAGAGGAGGAAGTGAAGAATAAAAGAGAAAAGTATGAGGGCAGTAAAGGAATGGGAGGCAAAAAATAGGTAAAACTGAAGGAAAAAAAAAAAAGTCTAGTGAGAGAAGAGATGGACTGAAAATCCCACCCCCCCCCCCCCTCGTCTTTGAAAGCCAAAAGCACCAGGGCCTTTCTCCATCACCCCTCTGACAGACAAATGGTACAGTGGAGACTGAGCAGACGCCTCAGCCTTGTTCTTCGACCGATTGAAAATGAGCACAGAGCATAGGGATGTTTGGTGAAGGTTTCTATAAATAGGCTGTTGTGTGGAATGCCTGGATGTATTAATGATTAAGCAGTGGGGGGGTGGGTGTTCACACAAGATGGCTGTGAAAGGCGGAAAAGTCATCTTGCTGCCACTACGACGCAGTTCCAGCTCCCATGCTTTTATTTATTCTTTTACAACACAGAGTTGAAGCAGTGAAGCAACTGAGGAAAAACAACATGAAGAGAAAAATCTCCCTGATAACAAATCTCGACATTAACTACTTTGGTAATAATGCTTTGAGGTTATGTCTTAAAAACACATCTTAACCGTTTGACTGCAGTCTTTTGGAAAGAGGGTTCAACTTTCTAAACACAATGTCTTTTATTTATAATTAATCCGGCTATGATACAGAGTATCAAACGTATCCATGGTGTATTGTTGGACTGTCATCACAGTTTACTTTACAGAAATAAAAATAAAACAATAGCAGTCCTGTCATTTAATATCTGCCAGTAGTTTCAGCTGCCAAACAGTGGGCGCATGTCCTCTGGCACTCATTACATTATATATATATATATATATATATATATATATATATATATATATATATATATATATACATACATACATACATACATACA